TTATTAACATGGTGTTGCCCCCAAATGCCCTGGTATGGCTGAGAGTGGGGAGAGTCAGCTCTCCCTCTCGAAATGCTCTCACATGACTACGCGAATATATAGCCTCTACCAGGGAAATCCTACTCACTGCCTTCTTGTGGCGGGGGTGTTGTTTACGAAATTGAGAGGACGAAAAGCGAATGTCCGGTGCTTTAACCGGGTCGGTGGACACGAAACGTTCACCTAGGGAGTTGGAAAATCCTGATTCTAAACCAATGGTGCACATGGGCTACAGGATCCTGAGAGGACAAATGGCGTATGAACCAATCGTTGGTCACCGGCTGCCATGGGACTGCATCTCCTTACGATGCTCCATTGCCTTGTGGACTAGACCTTCAGGTCAGAGGCTCGGGGTGTGGCCCCCTAAGAAAACCACCTGCTTTAGTCTGGGCACCTGGGCAGTATCACAGCCCTCACACAAATCAAATGAGATTTGTTAGGCGCATATGTATCTAGTGCTTCCTTGTATCAATATTTATGTTTAAATAAATAACATGGTGTTGCCATTGGATGTGAGCAATCCTTCGGAGACAACGACGATCAAACACACAGAATCATCTAACATCCCCAACTCAGAGAGGCCAGGTTTCACAAGCACAGAGCAAGACCGCTCTCGCCAATGCGTTGTAAATCTGACCTTTTACAGTCAAACTAACATCACGAAGGCGCCAAAGATGATCCAGGTTGCTCTGGCTTTCATTATACATGAATTGATCTCAACATACTATCACCACCAGAACTTATGCAGCTACCTAGATACATGGACTTCTCGACTACTTTTATCTGCTCACTACCCAGGATGAATGCAGGATCAGGGTCCTGCAGGTCTTTTAAAAGTACTTTGCACTTCGAAGGTACAAAGCACATACCATGCCTACGAACATTGACTCCCAACTGATTAAGTGCGGATTACATGGTTTGAGTGTTGTCGCACAGTAATCAATATCATCCGCATACTCAAGGTCGAGAAGTCTTCCTCCAGGAAACAGATCCACACCACCATTATTTACACCCATCAAAGCTGTTTCCAAAACGCCACTGATAGCAAAGTTGAAGAGGAATGGTGAGATTGGGAAACCTGTCTAACCCAACTGCTTGAATGGAACAGTGGAGAGAGGCGTTTATATGCCCTCACTCTGCATGAGGTGTTTGTATATAGGGCTTTTAAGATGTTAATAAACTTCTCAGACACACCTCTTTTCAATAGACAATCCCAGAGAACAGTCCTATTCAATGAATCGAAGGCAGCCCTGATATCAAAGACATTACGATTGTTGGCCTGTGATAAGTATGACGGTGTTCTAACATTTGGCGGAGGGTGAAGATACCATCAATACATCCTCGACCAGAACGAAAACCAGCCTGCTCTTCGCGAGTCAACCTTTCTCGGGTTTTGAACAACCTACGAAGTATGACAGAAGCCAATAGTTTGGAAGCAATGGAAAGTAGACTTATCCCACGATAGTTGTTACAGGAACGACGTGAACCCTTTTTAAAGATAGGGAAAATTATAGACTCATTCCACGATGTTAGAATACTAACTCCTAAACCTTTATAAACACCTCAGTCAGTTACTTGACCAGAAAGTCGCCACCATCTTTAAAAAGGGCCAGAGGTAAGTTATCTGGGTTTGGTGATTTGTAGCGCTTCAAGAGTTGGAGTTCCTTCAGGACTTTTGCCTCGTTAGGTGGACCAGTCGTCACAGGCCGTGGAGGGTAGGACAGTTTGATCAATGTTGCCGGGGCAACAGACCAGTTGAACTGTCCCTCGAAAAACTTTGCCCATCGTCAAAGACGTCGATAGATTTTAGTGATCGGCATCTCCCCTTCTTCACAGGTTGTTTCACTCAAACCAGACTCCTTGCAGCCAGCGACTCGGATGAGTTGAAAGAGCTTCCGGCAGATGCAGCCGCTACTTCCAACTCGTAAGCACGCTCCGATCATCTCATGCAAGCTTGGCACAACTTCATTACGTAACAATCTTAGTTTCTGTTCAAACTCACCGTCACTCGAAGTAGACCTACGGGCTTCAATGAGTTGTAAGGAGCCTGAAGAAACCCAATGCTTTAAGTGGGACGTTTCGCGGAGCCACAAGCGACTTTACTCGCTATTTTCATGGCATCGTGCAATTGCAACCAATGCTCATCTGTACTTTGCGGTGGGATGGCAGCTACTCTTGAACCTAGCTCGATTTAATATTCAGTTCCAGCAGAAGGTCCAACTAATTTGCTGATATCGATTCGTTTAGGATGATGAAACTGCTGGCCACTGAAATGTAAGATAAGATGAGCCCAAACAAGGGCATGATCAGAGTCCAGATGGGTAAACCAAAAAGAGCGGTAGTTTTGTACACAACCACGATAGCAGTAGCTGATCGTGTAGTAACAGGCTTGGGTGATGTCAAGGCCAACAAAAAATATACACTATTAATTAATGAAGATGAACATACATCCCTTCCTAGTGTATATTTTCTGAATATATCTGCTATGGTCAAAAGTACATAAATGTGTACAAGACATTTGACGCGTGTAGAAAAAGGTTTTTGTGGAATGCAAAATAGAAAGGTACAAAACATTCGTGCAAATCATGAGGACTATTCACTGATAAATACTAACAGGATTGTAACATTCTCCCGCCAACATCGATTTGTCAATTTCAAACTGAGTCACTCACGAAAGCAATTAGATGCTTTAAAAAACGGAGACCTATCACATGTGTATCACAGAATTTTATTTTACATCAACAAGCAGAAACCCGTTGTACATTGCACCGGAGATTCGGAACCAGTGACCAGATAAGACTTCATTCCTCACTACAATATAAAGCGGGAAATAAACATGTTATTATCCTACATTTATTATCTTTTTTCTTTGATGTTTGATTCTGATTCTTAGTTTTGACTGATTTGGTTTGCTGGTTTATTTCAGCTTTGCTGGTATAGTGTTACACCTAATAATATACATTTTTGTTGAGAACTGGAGTAAATTATAAAATGAGGACATTAGTAATCAATATAGAGGCTCAGTCTGGTCTCTAGACCAAGAACTCCCCACGCGGCACAGATCAATATCAGACGGGTGCAATACTAATAGAAATTTATGTTTGAGAAGACATTACTGTAGCATCCTACTGGACTACTCTAATGTTTAATTCGTGATCTGTTGACCACTCATATATGACGAACCGAAAGCCATTAGTTGTAAATATGCAGTCTAGTATTCTACGTTACGATCAGCACTTTAAATTTTACGTCTGAATAGACTATATCACTCCTAGAGTTAGAGGTCAACACTAACCGTGGTGTCCCGACAAACAAACAACCATGTTTTATGCAGGTGGATGAAAATAAGTAAAACTAGGTAATGATAATAATGAGTAGTGGCTTAACAAATAAGCACAGATTTGCCCAATAGTTTCCGGTTTTACTTGTGTAGAATTGAATTACTATTCAGTTTCTCAAGTTGGGATGGGTGGGACGAGGCTCGAGAATAAAAACTTGGTAATCGAATTCCAGACCATCGAACTACAGCAGCATAACTAAACACTAAAACTTTTCTACAACCCAATACAACACTTCAGTTGTAGAACGAAATGTGGTCGGATCTGAATTTGAGTATCTTGATTTAATTTGAATGAACGCAGAACAAGAGTTGTGACAGGACTATCTAACTTTGTTTCTAGGGTACACTTAGGACTTCAGACAGAGAAAGTACGTACCAAATTTATGATCATTAACAGAACCCTAATTAGAAAGAATTTCTTATAAATACCGAGCAAGTAGATAATATCTGCAGACTCGTTAGATTATACTAGCCAACCATAATCAACACAAAACTATGATTACCTAATTACACCAGATCAACGAGGTGGAATTAATAAGGGTGATACCATGAGTCAAAATAGTAGTGTCTATGAGTGAGAAAGACTAAACACTGACAAATACTGTTTGGAAAGAGGTAGATATTAGAAATAGGAAGTCTGGAATAATATTGAACCCCAAGGTTCAAAGGAAGGCAAACATCTACATCTGCATCAGTGATCGATTCGCAGCCATCCCACTCAACTTCTCCAACCACTGATAGCATGGACTACAACTAAGTAATCCAAATCTATCAACACAGCAACCCAAAAGTCGATGACTTTACGCACCGGTACTACTTCTTAGTTTAGTAGCCCCTAGTTTCCTTCTAGCTTATTCTAACTCCAACCAAAATTGCATGTCGAAGCAGGCTTTGGTGGGAAATAAGTAATACATGTCCCATCCACTTCAGTTGATGAAGACCCGCCAACTCCCCAAACACTGAATCGCTTCCGCGATTGTCCCACAGTACGGTAGTGATTTCTCGAAGAGTTCTACGACCAAAAAACCTGCGACTTACGTCTCCCAATGTCATAAGTCATATCCCACAGTGAACTAGAGAAAAATACTAAGTGGCATGGTCATCATTTCGTTGGGCGACAAATAACTTGTCTACACCACAAGTAAGGCAAGTTGACAGAAAGAAACCAAGCTTCTTAAATCCGTGTAAAGATTTCATCATACACCAACACATCAGACCTCGTAAAACTTACGAGACAACTTAACTACTTCACTTCCAAAGATTAATCTAGACACTGATACAGACCATCCAAAAATGTAAACCGATATGGTAAGTGGCCATATTCAGACAATCCAACACTAAAAATATCCTGGTATCAATTTATTAACAGGAAATAGATTAAGGGTATTCTAATAACTACCAGTACAGTCGAAAATATATCCAAACAGTGATTACACAACATGTACACACCAAACATGTTAGAAAATATTATTCTGAAAATAATTTATTTGTTTGATTATTTGCAGATAATAATATATATTAGGAATAATAAAGAGAAACCAAATGATCAAGTATTATGCATTTGCAGTTTTATTGTCTAAAATTACTGATTCGTATAACATCAAATTTAGAATACTGTTGGTTAACCCGTTATTCCATTGCGATAATTTTTGTGTAGCTGTGGCTGAATTTGCATAACACAATTCAATAACATATTTATGGCGTCTTCTTTATGAAGATTCACAGAGGCAGTTTGAGTATCGATTATTTCTTGGGTTAGCTTTTGAATTTGCGACTCAATTTCTGATCGACGACCAAGTACCTAGTAAAAATCTTAAAATATAGTTTAAATCCGTGAGACATTTTACTATTAAAATACATATTATCTGTTTAAGTAATTCCACCTGCAGCTCTTTTAAGGCTACTGCCAGTACTAAGCCCATAACAAAGGAGGAGGGTTAGGTACGGGGACAACAACCCCATCCCATAGGAAAAAACCATGCTTAAAAAACGCTAACTAGAATAAACAATTTGGAACATTTAAACTCTGCCCTGGGAATTGAAGTAACAATTATGACGCCTCAGAATGAAAACTGAGATTCTTCGGAAGTCACGAGGCCGATGCCCCTTCTAACAACCACAGCGACACTTTTTATAGGTACATGGGACGGCCGGACAATGTGGAAGACCGGGAGGACCAGTCGAAAAGCAACAGCGGTTCTGGGAATCAGCGAAACCCATCGGACCCAGGCTGGACAGCAAAGATTAGATACTAGAGAGATGCTGTTGTACTCCGGTCACAAAGAGGGAAATGCTACACATACTCAGGGATTTGCTCTGATGCTGTCTAAAGAGACACGCATTGCACTTATAGGATGGGCATCTCATGGATCTACAATCACCAAAGCACCCTTCAAAACAAAGGAGGGGACCACAATGAATGGCATCCAGTGTTATGCACCCACTAATGATAGCAATGAAGACGATAAAGATCAGTTTTACGAGAGGCTGGAGTCGATCGTAGCGGAGTATTCAGGGAACGACCTGACCATCCTGAGGAGAGACCTGAACGGCACGGTCATAATGGACAACACTGAGTATCAAGATATTATGGGACGAAATAGACTGACTGGGAGGAAGGTGACAGATTCGCAAATTTATGTGTGCTCAATTAGACTGTTCACTCTCCCCTTTTCTTGTTCTCCTGGAGGTTGGCTGGATTATGAAGACCTCGACATCTGAGGGGAAGTACGGAATACAATGGACAGCATGAATGCAGATAGACGATTCGGTCTTCACAAATGACTTAGCTCTCCCGTCACATACAAACCAACAAATTTTGGTGAACACAGTCAGTGTAGTAGCAGCCTATGCATTGCTAGGCCTCAGCACACACAAGGGAAAAACCAAGATCATCAAATACAACACAGAGAATGCCAACACAATCACACTTGATGGCGAAACTATGGAAGATGTGGAAACATTCACGTATCTGGGTAACACCATTGATGTACAAAGAGGATCTGATGCAGATGTAAAGGCGAGAATTGGCAAAACAAGGGGTGCATTCCTACAGTCGGAGAACATATGGAACTCAGAATAACTGTCAAGTAATATCCAAATCACAATCTTCAATACGAACGTCAAGACGCTGGACGTGGATGAAACATATATTGCGGAAATCACCAAACTGCATCACGAAGTAAGCCCTAACATGGAATTCTGACGAGAAGCGGAAAAAAAGGAAGATCAAAGAACACAGTGTCGGCAATTGGAGACAGGCATCAAAAGGATGAGTAGTAACTGGGATGGATTGTCTAGGACAGGATTCAATGGATAGTCCTGGTGTGAAGCCTATACTCCTTCACGAAGGGTAACAGGCGTATATATTTAAGTTAGCATTACGGAATGAACAGAAAATCACATACACAGACAACTCACTTTACCCTCACAAATTTTAAAGTGATGCTCACGCTCAGCTCGTTCAGCTTCGATTTCTGCCTGAGCCTCGGCTTTAGCTTCCTTTAATCGTTTAGCTTTACCTGAGATAGTAAAAAAATACATTGATTATCGTGTGGTAGAAAACTCGTTTTCACTGCTGTAGTATGTGGAAATCCGATCTCAGTAAAGAGAAAATCAGGAAATTATTCAAAATACAACGCTATAACAACAGAACACGACTGAAATAATTACACTCGGATTTATCCACCTTATGTCAACGAAAACGTGTTGAACATGAGTTCCAAAAAATGTTCCACATGCCGACAAACCAATAATGTGAAGATATAAAAAGTTGTACATAAAACAATGTATAATCAAGATGGCAGGAGCAAACAAATAAGAAACAATAGTTTCTTTCTTAGATCTTAAAATGTTCCAATACAAGACTATACTAGTCATATGATTACCCGAAGCACAACCCAGTGACAAAGGAAGTAACTGGTGTTTGATCCAGGATATTAGAGATTTCAAACAGAAACATAGTGTCAAACAACCGACTTTTCATAGTCAAGTAAGCATTACAATGTAGCTCGCATCCAAAGAATAACTTTGAAGAACAGCAAAGTATTAGGAAACTCGGTGGCTTTGCTGATAGAACAATCGTTTTTTAACTAGCAAGTCAGGTTTGAACTTTGCTCCACGTACATCTGAGTAGACAAGTAGTATTACTACCCCTAAACTCAAGTGTGATTCGAAGCTGAGGACATTAAATTATATCTAGTTCATAAAAGACATTTCCTATCTTTATTTAGAAATTCAAAAATTATGTGGCTGAGATAGTGGGAAAATGTTGCGTTAACTAATTCATCAAGTGACTATTACCGGATACAAGAATTGTTGCTATCTGAAAAAAATTACCACGAAACCATCGATATGTCTTGAATAGACTCACTAAGAGATGGATTCATTGGAGTAACGGCTAAAATTTATAATGGTACTCATATATACTAAATGGTTCAAATGGTTGAGGACGGAATAGAAGCTTTCGCTTAACGGGCTTCCGTGTCTAGTAGCAGTGGATCACCAATACCTCCAGGCAAAAACCTAGGTGTATGAACGATAATAGAGGAAAAAAAGAATTTGGTAGATCGTAATAAGTTATCCTTAGTCCTTAAGAATAAGTCAGGTTTCCTCTTAAAGGACTCCTGGGAAGTCGCTTGGACTAGCTCAGTCGGCAGCGAATTCCAGCACTTGACTACTCTTACGGAGTATAAGTTGTGTCTGCAGTCTGTTCTGCTATGTTGGTTCTCCAGTTTCAGGTGAAGTATCTAAATCTTGCTCCATTTACTAAGTTTTGAGGGCTCAAGTTAGAACTCAAAGACCAATGCCAGAACTTTTGCTACTACTATTGCCAACCTGACTAGTGAAACCGATACGCACTTGATTTACAGAACCTCAAATAGCGCACCGAAAGCGGTGACCAAGTAGTCAACTGTGTCAAACTTCCAGGAAGGGTCCTTAGTTGTCGATGGGATATAGGCTTTCGTGCCTTGAGACAATGGATCCCTGGCACTTACAGTACTTTCATGACAGAGACTCAAAGTGATATTTAAAATTAACTTACGTCTTTTCGCTTCATTTACTTTCTCACTAGCACTTTTTTCGGCTTGCAAAAGGAGTTGAATACCATCATTCCTTGAAGCCATTGATGATAATAAACCTTGAGATTTATCTTCTACTTATGAAGAAACACATTTAAACAATTACTCCTGTGACTGAGTCTGAAGGTAAGAAGACATAAACTAGTTTAAACGTTATATATATATATATATATATATATACTAAACTTTTCAGAAACATGACTTACGAAGAACGTCTAGCAGAGTATTGAAGTAAGGATTTCCAGTTGTCGGTAGCCCAAGCAACCAATATTTAGGCCTATGAATTCTGAAAAATCCTTTTTTACACTTTAAAATTCACAAGATTATTTTGATTTCCAGTAGTCGAACAGGCGTTAGGAAAAGAATTAATCCGGGGAATGCTTTTCATGTTCAACTCCGTTTTCAATAAAGCTTTTTCTAAACATGTGCTTACTTTTTCATTTGAGAAAGCCCATGTGATTTTAAACGCATTTGCAATTATGTACATCTACCTTATTAAGAAAGTATCACATGTTCTTCCTTTTGTAGCTGTTTTCAAATGACACTGACACCTGACATCTGCAATCAAAATATAACGATTGATGCACTAGCATCTGCCAACTACTCATGATGTTGTACAACAATACGCCTTTTCTTTTCAATAAATGTTCTGAATATATACCATCTTTTACGTACGTTTCACTATTCGTATGTTGTGGGAATGACGAAGAACACAATGTTTGGGGTAATGACCTAAGTGTTTTAAGAGTGGATGCAAAATTACATGAATCAGTGTGTATATAGGTGAAAAGTAGATAATTCGGCGTATATTTAGGCCAAAAATAGAAAGTTGTGGGACATTTGAAACGCAGTGCTATATAATGAGGAAAATCCGCATTATTTACCCCAGATAGGCGAAAAAGCAGACATTTCGTCGCATTTCCCCATTATTTTCCCTTAACTTCCAAAGCATTTTACTCTTTATTGGTCGTTTGGGAGTATAGTAATATTGAAAAAGTTCCCGTTACAGAGAATTCTAGCCGTTCATAAATCCACAAAAAAGACAGTTCTGTAATTCCTAGGCATCGAAGTTTTGGTCATTACTTTTATTTGCACACACTGTAGTTGGAAGTACACGATCACTCATCTACACCAAATCAACATGCAACAGTAAATAAATCTACAAGTCTTTAACATTTGATGTTGACTGCATTAGTTTTAATGGACTCACCTAGCTGAAGGCGCTCGGTAATGCATCCGCACCAGATCACGAATAGGAACGCCGTGCATCACTTCTCCTACAACAGCTAGCCAGTTTAGATCTGTCGCTTCTCGATACATCGATAGCTTATGGAATATATCTTCGAGACTTTTCGCTTCTGATTTCACTGAGTTGGGACGTTTCGATCATAGGTGTTACTAATTGAGGTGTTGTCAAACTTCGAATACTTGTGACAAATGTAACCATAGGGTATGCCATGCTAACTTCCATCTCACTAACTAGTCGGCTTATATCACACACTCCTGGACATATTCGCTACCTTTTAAATCTATCCTCGAACTCCAACATTCCTAACTTCTGAGTCGACTGGGTTTGCGACCGTCTATTATAATGATATTACGGACAGCAGAATCATCAAACCCTGAATATCCGTGACGTCTTTGTGATGGTTATGATGATCACCTTACAACGAAACATTACTCCCATTAACTTTATTGAACTTACTTGAATGCAGCTCAAAGATCCAGCATCCGACTCTGTCTTTTCTGTTGTTGTATTTATTCTATCTCTACCTTTAGTCCTCAGTAAATCCTTTCTCTTCAAAATTTTGCCTTACAAAATATACAGTGTAACAAGCACGCACCGCATATCCTTAGTCATTTTCATGTACCTGTTGAGTGGCTTTTCGACATTTCTCGGCTTAATAGGCATAGGACTCATGGCGATTACCGTTCCCCAGGTTTCGGAAGTTTATAGGGACCCGACTACGGAATTTTCTCATATGTTTAATAACCTCGGTACCAAAAGTAAGAAACCTATGTCGTTTGATTCTGAAACTAAAATGCCTCTGCTGAACAACTTTCCATTCTTAATCATTCATGAAGTGTATATACATCCAAACATCCAACCACTTGTATGCTTATTTAGGTAGAGTGAAATAGAACACAACCCCTAGTATAATACACGTGGGACAAACATTCACCCTAGGCAACCTACCTGATTGCATTCATGGAGAACTACTGCGATGTTTGTATGGACTAATGATTCCTTTGTACTTGATGACTGCCTGATTTAGAATTCCACATACATTGTAATCATTTGTGCTCGCCTAGTTCTTCTTGGTCTAAATTCTGGGATTTCCAGTTCGTATAATAATTTGAATACTTATAATCATCACGACCACACTTGGATTACTCTGATATGGGACAGATGGTCATAATTGGAGAAAAACGCTACACTAATGTAGCCAAAGTGAGTAGGGTGTCTAGAATAAAAAGTTTCTTTTGGATCCCAAACGAATCAATAAGGTTGGAACACAATTAAAAAATATGAGGGCAACGAAATAGATTATTATCATATCGCTTTGCAGTTCCATGTGATATTTGATTGTCCCAACCCTGAGAAGATAATCTACAAAGGTTTTACGATGGTGACAAATGTAATGGTCTTATCACACCTCCAAGTGATTTGTGTTTTATATTTTCTTCAGTGATACTCGCCACATTTGTTTTGTAGTTACTCGCTATTACGATCTATGTCACAGGATCGAGATTCTGCTGTCTCGTGGTCTCCGAGTTGGATGGAATAGTTGTGAAACTTTCCCTTTTCTTCAGGAAAAAAATCACAAGCAGAAACTTCAAGCGGAGGTGAGTTATTGGAAGTTCTACTCAAACGGCTAACAGATTGTTTTGACTACCCGAAATTTGGTTGAGTTTTCAATCCATTCTTGTATTGTTTGTTTAAATATTCCCACTGATGTTTAGAACAGCAATCGAGAAGTCTCTTACTGACAAATGTGCATCCTGTGATGATGGCTTTGATATTTCATAAGCTAGTAGCCATCTTAACTCAGCAGCTAAGTAGATAACGCGGTGGCCTTTGAAACGAACGGTACTGGATATAGGTCCCACAGTGAACATCAACTCTGGGGTGCAGGCAGATCTGACTGACGAGTTCTAAACAGGATGAAACTCCCTCTCTAGAATCCACTGCTAGCCAACATCCATCTTTGCTGATATTGGTTGATTATTAACCATAGCTGTGAGTCCGTTGTTTGCATGCTTACCTCAAATGTTTTCCCCACTCATCTGAACTCCGATTATGCAGTTGCTATTCTTTTTCCCTACTGACCTTTAGATATGGTACACTTTGTAGTGTAATGTATTCTGTGGCGAATATGTAACATAGTGACTGAATAACCTTGAAATTAAACTGGGGATGATATATATTCTTAAGACTAAAACGCTGCTAAGCTTTTAACCTTTGTTTTTATCTGCTACCAAGTTGCTAGTAAATGTTGAAAATATGGGAATACACCTTTACGTAGACGAAAGAACCAAAAATAATAAAATTCAATCTGAGAGTAAAAATAATGGCTAGTTTACACGCAAAATGTATAGCGTGGAATTTCCACAAACAAGCACACATATACAGGCAAACTCACACCAAAGGCTGTCATATCAGTACCTGAAAACCCTTAGTGTAAGACAGGAGTTCTCTTAGTACCTTCTATAGCAGTTTGTCTTAACTTAATTATCGATGAAATCCGGTGCTCAACATGTTTCATGGTCGCACAAATATTCATTTTACGGCTGTATTCTAAGGTGAAGTCCCTACTTTCTTAATCAGGTCTCTGTGCTCTATCACAAACCCGCAGATCATAGTTCGTAAATGGTAGGAGTCGTTTATTTCCCTGCCACAGTGTGTTAGCTTATGCCTATGCCTAAAACGTTCTTCAACTAGCCCTAACAGTATGGCAATCGGTGCAACCCATTTATTCGCCAGTCACTCTGCAAAGTAGAATATCAAACTCTGGAGTCCATCACAAATGACACGCAAGCTCAGTTAAAGCTGTATAGTTTTATTCGTTGTAGTTCAGCCGTTAACTTAACACAACCCTCATGCCTAAATCGATCTTTCAGTCATTTGTACTTTCTTTTCTACAGACATTATTAGGGCGCGCATGACATGGCTGAATTTTCCCAATTATCTTGATACAGACACTATCAAACCCGTAAACATGATCAGGTGCTTCATGAATATTCTGTGGTCTTCATCCATTTACATGAAGTCTAGCGAAATCCGAAATGGAACTGCGTGTATCGAAATGCAAGTTCCGTTCCGTGCATCTATAATCTTCACTAATTTAACTACTATCGATTTATATTCAGACAGTACCACAGTGTTCTATTCAAACATCCTAATGTCTTAATTAAATGAAGTTGGTAATCACTGGCAATATAACCGGTGCTGTACAGATGACTCTCTACACATCAAAATGAATCATATTTGATCTTAAGATTGACTTCTAGACAGTGTGAATCATCAACATTCACCGTTGTGGAAGCTATCATATCACCATGATTGGCTCTAAATTGTTTGACAAGCATCAAATTAATACCTCGTTTGATCACACCATTAACCACTAAACGAGCGATGACGCCACACATATTGATTCATGTAATTAAATATTACTTCATTAGATCAGTCTTCGTCTGGACAAAACAGAACTCGATTGTCTTCACCACCAGGTCACAAATCTAAATTTTACCATCATTCCAGGACACCTACACCCGCATATAATAAAGACTAGTATGTTTGAATTCACAGACTCCCAGGCCGTTGAATGTGTGACTCAAAATTTAATGATATCAAGACCAAGTAAATTATGCAGTTAAATTAACGTCTACTAACTATAATTGCAAGTTTGCTGAAATGTTCTTCTCTACAATGATTGAATCAAATTCATCACAGAACTTCGCTATTACGGTTTTCTTTGGTCCAAGTTCAGAGAAATAACTGAGGAGCAAAGATGAAGCCAAAGGCTCAGGGTAAAACTTATGAA